GTCCTCCATGTCTCTTTGTGCTGACGTATTATTTCAAATACCACGTAGACTAGTTTGCCTCAGGATAGAATAAGTAAATAAGTAAATAACTAAATAAGTAAATAAAGTAAATAAGTAAATAACTCAGAGCCTCAGTCTTTTCATCTCTAAAATGGGAACAGTAAACCATTTGTGGAGTTCTTGTGAAGATGAAGTGAGAGCAACGTGGGAAGTACCTAGAGGTACATTACCTAGAGGGAGCGAATGGCCTTGATCCTTCTCCCTTGCACAGGACTTTTCATTAGCCTTTTACTGGCCAATTACTTTTTATTTCTTCTCAGAAACAACTTTAAAATATACATAGAATCCATCTCCACTGCCACTCACAAATTTGCAATAAATATTTAATTGATCTTCCTAACTCCATCTTGCCTGCTTATAGTGTTTGGTAATTTGTTTGTTTCCTTGTTCATTAGTTTTGAGGGAGGCTTTCATGCAGTCCAGGTTGCCCTCCAACTTACTATGTCACTGAAGATGGCACTGAAAACCAGATTCTCCTCCCTCTACCTGCCAAATGCTGGAGTTGCTGATAGATGTGTTCTTCCATGCCAAATTTATACTTTATTTTAAATTCAATGTCCAAAGCAATTCATGGTATTCATCGACTCCAAATCCCACAATATCTGTATCTCATTTAGAGAAAAACCTAATCGTAATCCTAATTACAAAGTTTTGCTCCTCCTTCAGCATTTGGACCTCATGTAGTCTTTAATCGCAAAGCCTTTCTCCGATAGAAAACAAACATTCTCTTTCTTTTTTTCTTTTTTTTTGGGGGGGGGGGTTCGAGACAGGGTTTCTCTGCAGCTTTGGAGCCTGTCCTGGAACTAGCTGTATAGACCATGCTGGCCTCGAACTCACAGAGATCCTATCCACCTGCCTCTGTCTCCCGAGTGCTGGGATTAAAGGCATGAGCCACCATGGCTGGCACAAACATTCTCTTTCCACTTGGTCCCTTGGTATAGATCTTTCCTCATGGCATATTCTATCAACTCTTGTGATTTATGCACATAGTATTTCTAAGAGAAATTCTTGGAGACCACTACATTTAAAATTGCAGCATCTCTCTTCAACAGTCCACATCACCTATTGCTTTCTTTTCCTTCATAAAAGTTATTGCTGTTTGACATACCACAAAATGTAATTATCTAATAACATCCCATTAGAATAAAAGCTTAAGGGCCAGTGAGCTGGTTCAGTTGCTGACAAGCTTTCCAACCAAAGTTCAATCTCCAGGATTCACAAGGCAGAAGAAGATCAACTCCTCCTACAAGTTGTCGTCTGACCTTGGCATTCCAACACACACACAAAGAAAACAAATAAACAAACAGTAAACAAACAAATAAATGTTTAAAAATAGGATCCAAGCTTAATAAGGTCAGAGGCTTTATTCATAAACAGCTCAGCACCCAGCACTTAATAAAATACTTGTTCTTCTCTATCTTACTACAATGAGTGGAAGTTTTCACTGCTTTCACGAGATCCTGGGACCAGTAGGGAAGGATGCAGGAGAAGAAGGGAACAATGACCAAAAACGTCTGTTTCTAGTGAGAAACTGCCTTATGTGATTATATGACACCATTTTAGAGACAATGTAGGCTTCTGTGCTTTGAGGCAACCCAGGAGGAGAGGATGCTGGGCATTCTCAGGAAAACCCTAGATTCTAGCTTTCTAGGATCTTAAAAACCTTGAGTTTGGAGGAAGGGACACTTGACTTTCACTATAAACAGGATCCGTTGGTGCCAAAGACTGAAACAAGAGGGTGCACCTGAAAACAAGTTTATGTGGGGCCTTGTATCTTCATGTGCTTCCTATTCAATAATATGAGTTGTTTGTTCCATCATATTGCTTTACTCTGAAAAGGCATAAAAGTTTGAGTACATTCACTGTGTTAAAGGCTCCCATTCAACAAGTTAGTGTGAACAGGTTTACACCAACCTGCATCAAACCAATAGGCAACTTGGTACTGTCTGAATTAGCAACTCACAGACTAGTTAGTGCTAAGCCCTGATACTGGTACAGCTTGGTACTGTCTGAATTAGCAACTCACAGACTAGTTAGTGCTAAGCCCTGATACTGGTACAGCTGGAGCTGGAATTCCCAGAGTCAAGGTGGTGGAACCATCAGTCTAGCCAGAAGTCTTTGGAAATTTAGATTAAGGAGGCCACCCATGTACCCCAATCAACAGCTGGCATGACACGGTAAAGTGAACAAAACCCAAAACCTGTGTGTCTTGTGCTCTGCCCTGGCTGCTTCAGCATGACCAGCACACTCATGTCTAAATGTTATCATATTAAGGGCACTTCTGAACTTTCTTTGTGGGGTAAAGCTTAGGTTGAACATTACAAGAAGGCCACAGAGGCTGCTTTATTTAAGAAACTTAAAGCCTAGAACAACACCAAAAAAATTGACACCACACCCAAGAGTAATTGGTCAGCATAAACTGGACTCATTTTTGGCTTGGTTTGGTTTTTTAAAGGAAGAGGACTGGAGAGATGGTGAGTAGTTAAGAGCATATACTGCTCTTCCAGAGGACCAGCGTTAGACTCCTAGAACCCACATCCAGTGACTTACAACCTCCTGAAGGGTCTAGTCAGCTCTGGCCTCTGCAGGCACCTGCCCTCACAAGCATGCACAAGAATGCACATGAACACACACACTTAAAAATAATAATAATAAATCTTCAAATAGAGAGAGAACACAAAGTTGGGTGGGTAGGAAGGAGGTGGGGTGAATCTGGGAGAAGTTGAGGGATGAATATGATCCAAGTGTACTGTATGAAATTCTCCAAAAATTAATAAAATACTTAAAAAAAACTATGCCTTAAAAAAAACAAAAACAAATGAGAGCTGGCAAGAACAAAATGAGAAAGTGTCATTGTATCCAGTTCAAGGGATCTTGCAACCTCTATAATTACAGTGGTGACAGCAAGACCTTCAGAAACAACCTTGGAATTGCTTTGCTTAATGTAAGTAAACTGCTCTTGATGGGCATGGGAGAGATTTCTGCATTTGGACTAACAGTGTTTCCTGAAAGTTAGATGAATCGTATGCCACTAGGTTTAAAACTGTTTCCCTCAAGTAACCATAGCCTTCACATGTACAAGTTAATCAATACAGACATCGGCAGAATCTTGAAAAGCCCAGAGAGCCAAAGAGCAACGGCACAGGAAGATTCATCAGACTCCTGAACAAGAACCAACTAAGAACCTGAGAATCGTGTTGAAGCTAAACCCACAAACAAGGACCTCCACATTCCAACACATGTGCAACACACATAACAGAACACCATCTTTACCAAGCCAAAAAAGGCAAAGAAGGGGTAAAGAAGAAGTAGGGACAAAAGAAAGCAAGAGAGAGAGAGAGAGAAAGAGAGAGAGAGAAGAAAGAAAGTAGGTGCAGCAGCAAAAACCAAATCAGATGAGGGCTGAGAGAAGATGTTGAGAAGAAGGGGATACAAAGGGGTGCAAAAAATGGGATACAAAGAAGGGGTGCAGAGAAAGACAGTACAAAGATGAGTGCAGAGAAGTGGTACAGAGATGGTGGTACATAGAGGGATATATGAAGGGGTGCGCAGAGGAGTCTACAAAGAAGGGGTACAGAGAACACTGCTTAGAGCAGGGGCCACAGACCAAGAAAGTCAGCAAGGAAAGAAAGCTGTTGGTGTTTTAAGAATGAAGAAGCCTTTGCAGGGAAAGCTGCAACTTCCACAAAACCATTAAATGAAAAGAAACCAGCTAAAAAGGGGGTGAGGGAACCAATCTCACAAACTATTAAAATCTGTTTTGTGTCTAAAGAGTCAAATAATTGGGGGCAGCTTATTTGAATTAAAAACCTGATCAAGAATGCCATCAAAAATGTATCTGATGAATAAATGGATACAGCAGGCAAGCTGGTTACACGCTTCATCTTAGTGAACCCTGTCTTGTAATGTAGATACAGTTGGGGCTTCTATTTTTAAATGGATGAAAGGGTCTGGGGATATAAGTGATAGAATGATAACCTAGCTCATCCTTTTGGAAGGAAATTGCAAGTCTGCTGCAGCTGCCATGGATTTGAGACGGCAAGAATTCCTTTCCTTTGGGGCACTGACTTGGATGCAGAAAAAGACACTCAAACTAGTACATTAATATGACATTCAGATAACGCACTATCCACTTGTCCCCCCCCCATAATCTATATGTTTCATTATTCTTTAGTGTGTGCGAGTTTGTTAAGCATCCAACCAAATCAGTCTTCCATTCAATTATAATCTAACTTTAGGAAGCCAGAGTAGAAACGTTCGTTAGTGCTGTATCCCCAGTTCCTACAACACTTCCTGACACACAGTGGATACTGAATATATATATTTGTGAAACAAATATCCGCCCATGGAAACAAAGCCCCCTCCTTGAGGAGTGTGTGGGTGTGAAAGAAGGGAAAATCCTTTACAGTGGCATGACGGGCCCGTGCCAAGTGGAAAACCCATACCAGAGGAGACCAGGAGAGCAGGCTGGGAAGGGGAAGATCAGCGAAAGGCAGGCCTCAGACTCCTTTTAAAGGAGCTGGTCAGAAATCTCTTGAGTTAACAACTGCCTCCAAAAGTGCAAAACTGGTGCTAAGGAAGCAGAAGAATCCCAGAAAACGGCACAGAAAGACCGGGAGACAGCGGAGGTCTTGCCTGAAGAAGTGAACAAGATCCTGTGGAAGCGAAATGACCCTTCATTTGAATGCAAATGCTATGTAAAGCCTGAAGCCCCTTGACGTCAGCCCAGCCTTTGGTGGCCCTCCTACGTCCCACTACCAGTCACCTGGAAACCTGGTGGAAGAAAGGGAGATTGGAGTTAGTCCCAGACGCACAGAGGAGCCAGTGGTGCAGCTAGTGCTGACCCATTGATTCTCTCCTGCGTCTCAAATTCGGGTTGGCGCTAAGTTTACAGGGACCTCAGGATGGCTTAGGGGGCAACTTCTTCTATCCAAGTCATCATGTATGGAAGCTGCCTTTTGGAAAAAGAAGCGGGCATGTACCCAGGCACTCTCAGGAGCCCTGGAGGAGGCAGCACAGCCAGGGTGGGTACCTCTGGGGGTAGTGGTAGTCCGCTGCCTGCCTCCAACTTCACTACGGCCCCAGCTTATCCACACTACATGGGGTACCCTCATATGCCTAACATGGATCCTCATGGGCCGTCGCTGGGAGCCTGGAGCTCACCCTACAGTCCGCCCAGGGAAGACTGGAGTACATACCCTGGGCCGTCCAGTACGATGGGCACAGTGCCCATTAACGACATGACCTCGAGCTCTCCGGTTTTCGGCTCACCAGACTACAGCAATCTGGGCCCCACCAGTGGCGCAAGCAACGGTGGTAGCCTGCCAGCCCCGGCCAGCGAGTCACTGGCCTCCATCGACTCGGGCACCGCTGGTGCCAGTTCTCCCAGCAGGAGCCGCCACAGCCCCTACGCGTGGATGCGCAAGACTGTGCAGGTGTCCGGTAAGTGATCTATCCCCGCACCGATCCTTTCCTCCCTGCTTTACTCTTGGTCCGCCTGCCTGCCCTCTTACTCTTCACTACCCCCGCCCTCCAGGAGAGCTCTGTTAAGCAGCCCACAGCGTAGCCCGTTGGCAGGATAAGTACTTCCCGCCTTTGCGCCTAGGTTCAAAGCCGGCCAAAAGCAGTGCTTGAGACGAAACCTCTCTTCCGGATAGTTGGGGTTTTTGGTTGGTTTGGTTTGGTTTTATTTACCCTTTCTGGATCAGTCAAAAGAGTGAGCACATGGGTTCCTGATGAACCATAAGGATCGGGATCCAACCCTGTCGTTGCCCAGATGGGAAAACAGATGCACAAGTGATGGACGGGGCGAGGTGGAGGGGACGAGAGCTGAAGCTGTTACGATGCTGGTCTGTTCTTTCTTCAAATCTTTCCCCACCCTGGTGTGCAGACTTGCCAAAAACTGGTGCTGCTCAACTTAGTAGGTGCTTAACTGGCAACCAACGACCCTTGTCTATGAAGGCTTCCAAAGCAAAGCGTCTCCGTTATAGGACTCTCAAGGAAACTGCAGCTTGCTTCGCCCAAATTAGCAATGTCTGAAACCTATCACTTTCCAACGTCCCTTTGCGCCCAGGGAATCGTTGAGGCAGCGAGGTTACAGCACTGAGCTGTCATTTCATATGACACAACACTCACACCTGCCAAGGTACAACCAGCATTATCCCCCAATAAGTGCCTAAAGCCCTCATTGCTATTCCAGCAGGTGTCCACGAACTGCAGAGGCAGAATGCAAGTCTGCGACAGCGACAACACACAAGATAGCATAAAGATGCCAGTTTAAGGTCTAATGTCGCTGCCCAGCAAGCCCTCATGGGCAACCACTGGGAGCGGGGAGTTGTTGGAGAGGCGCATAGAGAAAGTGAAGTATCCTTAGCTTTAATTTTGGACAGGGATGGGGTGACTCTCTTGTTTTCAGCTGCGGTTGTTCTCTTATCACTTTCTTATTATTCTAATACTTGCTCCGCTATTATAAAAAATAGTGGCGTTTGACTATCACATTCATCCCCTCTGGAGAAGCAAACATATGTCAATAGCACTTGTCCACAGTAATTATGTTGTTCATAATCCCGTGTTTTCTCTTCTCTCTCTTCCAAAAAGCAAAGGTGTGAGGATAGGAAGGTACCATGCCCCACTTCTAGGAGAATTTTCAGCCAGAAGGAGGAAGCTCCAGTTTCATTATTAGGGTTAAAAGTAACACTTACAAGCTTGCTTAAAGGCCTGTGGTGGTAGACAGCATTAAAAAGAAAACAAGGGTGAGTCATATCACTTTCAAAAATGAGGTTAGGGAAGGGCATCCATCCCTAGAGCTGCTGTTATATCTAATCTTGGGGATAAAATTAACATCCATTCATTAAAACCTAATAATAAGCAAAATATACATTTTTTTAAAAAAGACATACTTTGCAACACGTTAAGGGAAGGATGCCACTGGCTTGTTGCTTTTAATAAAAAACAATGAGGAGAAAGAGACATGATAGGAAAATTATGTTGTGATGAATTTTCTGCTGATAAAGGTAAAACACAAGAGTTTAAACCTTTCATCTGATATATATCTCAGAGCTTTCTTTGGATAATTCTGATGCCAAGAGAAGTTGAGAAGGAGCCTCTTAAACCCTCAAACCTGACTTATGCCATCTGCGGGGTTTTCTCTTCAGTGTTGTTTAGAAGGTGAACACTGAGAATGATCTTGCAACTGCTCGGACTTGGTTAACCAACTATTTCATTTGAACTCCTTAGAAGCTATAGGTTTGCTATATTCTCATAGCTCAGGTTGTTATTTATCAACAATTTTAAAAGATGATGAATATGCATAAGAGCACAGCACAGTACACACGTAAGTAATGCTTTGCATAGTCTGGGATTCTAGATTCACTGAGTCTCTTTCATGATATCAGGCCATAAACTCCACAAAAATAAGTGGCATCACCCCATTGGACTCTCTGGACCAAAATGTACCCCTTTACATGATTAGCAAACAGAGCAGGGGTTAAGTGTTTGTAAAATGAATGAATGAATGAGTCAGATCTCCCGAAGCTTTCTGCTCACCTTGGAGCATTGCAGAACATGTGGTTTAGGGCTGAAAGGAAAGATCTATGGACAACAAACTGGAAATAGCCCTTCTCTTGGTTAAGGCAATCCAATGACAGGTTTGGACATTAATGAAGATAATTGAAAGAGACTTTAGTTAACGTGGGGGGAGCATTTATTACAGCTATGATTCCTAATGAAAGCGAGGAGATTGACATGAAGAATAAATTACTGCCTTCCAGATGATTATAGTTTTTCTTAGTATTCTATTCCAAACACATGTCTTTTCAGAGCTTTTACAAAATCTTATCCAAAAGTTTCTATGAATGTCAACATTTTCATACAGGCTCATATTTTAAACAATGCCCAGTGCATGAGAACAAGTCGGGTTTGTTGGGGTTTTTTTTTTCATTTTCTTTAGTACAGAACTATGAGCCTGTATGAGCGTTGGTCAAGCACCATCCTAAGCAGAGCTAGAAAGACACCGCCCTGTTTACAAAAGGGAAGTAAGTTTGATTCTTATTAAGCCATTCAACACTAAGGTAATAAAAATTAAAAGTTCTATTCAATTAGGACACTTCACAAACTGAGTTGCTTAATAATCCCTGAAGCTTACCATTGTCTTCCTTGGCTTTCCATATTTTGTTGGTGAATTTCTTAAATGAATTTGGATGTGATTTTTAGTTAAAAGCATAAAGGATTGCCATTAGGTAAACAGTCATCATGGTGGTACAGCCTTTTTAAGAAAACTGGCTTTCCATCATGATCCTAACTAACGCTTCATGAGGACTTTTCTGCCTATAGCACTTTGACTACTCAGAGTCTCTCCACTAAGCACAGTTTCAAACACACTTATGGTGATAGTAAGTCATCACATGTGGTGACATTGCCTTATGAACTGTGAGGGTGCTGTCTCCTGGGCGCTGGGAAGGAGCACTATGAACTATGGAAGTGTTTGTTCATATCTTTGTAGAAGAAGTAATGAAATTCTTTAGGGAAATGGAAATAGCTCTTTAATAAATCTTCGCCTTTTTTCATCCCTAAATCAACTCTCAATATTGGCTGAGAAGGAAATTCTCTGCTCTCAAAATGTCATTGTCTCTGGAAAAAACAGGAATGTAAACAATAAAAACAAGTACTCTTCATGCTTTCTTTGTGTTCGGCTTTAGTTATGGAAGACGTGGCCATTATCCTCTACCAGAAAGTGTCCAAATCCCTGCACTCATCAGGGGAAGAGGCAATGGGGGTTCTGAGAAGGCAGCCCAAGAGGAGTTGCAGGAAATACCTATTTGTTTCTCTTTGTAAACTGTGCAGGTAGTACACTCCCCTGTCTTCTTGGGGGTTTAGGTCTTATCTATCAGACTGGGGCTACAGACCCCTTTTAACACTTGTTTAGCTTTGATATGCATCTAGGCCCTTCTCATCGCTCCTTTCTTTGGAGGTTATATTGCCGGAAAGGGTGAGCATTTTCATGGCAAATAAAGAGGCCTGGTCTTGACTTTTATTGTCCTCAGAAGAAACTGCAAGAGGGGAATTTATGACCAATGGGGGTGGGGAAGGACCACAACCTTTCCAGAGTTCTTGAAGTCTGGTTATATTTACTGATTAATTGACTGAACTGAAGACACAGACACACACAAGTTGAATTTTAACCTCTCTGCTTCAAGTTAAAATTTAAACTCAGTCCCTTTTTGATCAGGAAGGGTTTTAGGGAAAATCTCCTCAAAATTATATTTCAATCCTAAAATTCGAGGTTCTGAAAACATTAGAACTCAGGTTTTCCTTTTTCATCCTTCAGCATACATTCTGTCTTTGGAATATGCCAAAGTCAGATCCCTGGTTTCCTATGTTTCTCTATGGATTCAGAAATCCTGCTCAAAGGTTGGGGCTGTGAGGCAAGTTAATTGGCTGGGACCCATCATTTCAAGGGAGGGAAGTTTCATTTCATTAAGTAGCACATATCGAGCCATTTAGTTGAATCCTAAGCTAGATCTGTTTCTGCATCCATGACCCCCCCTCCCTTCCTGGAGATGAAAGGGTGTCTGACATTTGTTTAGGGCTTGTAAATTCCAAGCCAATTGGTTGATGTTCCTGAATGTAAAGAGGGTTCAGGATGGGATCCATGCTATGTAGCTCCTTTGTTAGGCCTGTGCTGCATCTTAACACCTCAATGGAGTTTAGGGACCCGCTTTAAAGAAGTCTTTGTCCTACAGGTCGCCCCCCAAAATCTCACATCAAAAACAACCTGAGAAGATCAGAAGAACTTTCTAAAAGCCACAGAGAAAAAGAGCAGGATCCTAGAGGGGGTTAGAGAAACTGAAAAGAAAGGGAAACTTCCTAATCACCTTTGGAAAATTTGAAAGGAGGAATAAAACTCCATTTGAAGGAGAGCATGAGAAATTAGCTCAATGTTGTAACACAAGCCAAATGTTTGGATATCCTTTCAAAGCACGTGCAATGCTCACTTCAGTCTGCTTAAGTCAACATGTCCTCCTTCACCCATTCACTAGCCACTTGGAGATAAAAATGCCTTAAGACTCCCACAGGAAAGCTATTACTTTTTGTAACAAATAATAGGAGCTATTTTGAAACATAATTTGCTAAATAGCAATGAATATTTTCTTTTCAAACTATACAAATTCATTCTACGTAGCACATGTAACTACGTCAGGATTCCAGAATAGTTTGCCACACTTGGAATTACACTTCCCAACAGGTTTAAACTGGGAATAAATCTAGCATACTGAACTGGGCATCAAAGGTACATGATTGGGTCTATACTCCTAAGCTCACCAGCACAAATTCACTTATGTATACTGAACCTTGGGTTCCTTATTTATACAATAGGGATAATACATTTTCTGCAAAATTCACCAGAGTAGGTAAGATGCTTAATGGGAAACAGTCATGAAAGAACTGCCTAAAATGTAATTCATGGTGGGTGTTGCCATTGCTATTCCTTCAGTTGTTATATGTGGATGGAAATGGAATGAAATTCATGGGTTGAGTGTTTATTTTAAATGTTTTGATATAGCAGTGGGCCAAAAGAGTAGCTATAATCTGACTGATCATTTCAGGAGAAACATTAAAAAGATATTTGTTTCATATATATATGTGTGTGTGTGTGTGTGTGTGTGTGTGTGTGTGTGTATTAGAATGATTAGATATAAATATCATGGCCACAGATAATAATGCATTTAATGTAGAAATAGACATGACATATTGGATTTTAAAATACATTGGCTTTAAAATTTAAAGTAAAAAGTGAAAGTAAGAAGAGTAACTGGTTCCTTCAACCCAAATAATTTCCAAAGGAGGAGAATAAGATGAAATGTCATGCTTTCTCCCCCAACAGGGAAAACCAGAACAAAAGAAAAGTATCGTGTGGTTTACACTGATCATCAAAGGCTGGAGCTGGAAAAGGAATTTCACTGCAATAGATACATCACCATCCGGAGGAAGTCAGAGCTGGCAGTTAACCTGGGCCTTTCTGAGAGACAGGTATTATGAAACATATCCCATGTGGTCATTTCAATTGTCTAGGGTTTGGAGGAAATAGCAAAATAGAGGATATATGCTTTCCTCAAGCACCGCTAAACCCACACTCAGCCTATGTTGTTTCATTGGCCTTTGGGTTGATTAACTATTGAACAGGTGGGTATCATGTGGGCCTGGGAATAAGAGATGGAGTGGAGAGATGCAAAGAGATTTTAACTCCAATACAGTTCAACAATCAAGTCAAACCTTGATCTGATCTCTCGAGTAGTACTGAGTGGGAGAAGTGAAAATTTCACAACTCTGGCACTGTCCGCTCCCTATCAGTCAAACAAACTACAAGAGAAACTGCACACTAGTGCAACTCCATGGATGGAGCTTTTCTGCCATTCAAGATAAGGAACGCAATCTTCTTTGGGCTGTATGATGTTATGATGTCTGCCTTGAATTTAGTTAACTGTGAGTACTCAATGAAGATCAAGTTACAGCAAAGGTCAGCAGTTTCCACTCATTCGGATTTTGCAATTACATGAGCACCTGGTGATTTTCCCCTCAAGTCTAAAAGTGATGCTAGAATCATAGAAGTCTATAGAAAAAGGTAAAGTCCATTAATACACAGCCTTATCTCTTGCCGTTTGCATTCCATCCATGCATAGGCACATTAACACCACTCTGGTGCTGATTTCCAACAAGAAATAGAAGGTATTTCATGACCCTGCTCATTCAGGTCTAGGTGTTGCTAACTTTTTAATATAAGGAAGTTTCTCTTAATGACTGACTGTAATCACCTTTGCTATTTAAATTGTTCTTTCTCATCAGCAGTCCTTGCTGTCTTTATCTAATTATTTCTACTTGTGTGACAGAGGATGCAAGGGAGTTTTGCGCTCAAAGTTGGTAGACCTAGATTTGATGATTTCAGTCTCATTTCCTGCAAAGCACTTGCCCTCTCTGCGCCAAAGCTTTTTAGAACCTGTAAAATGGGTATACTTCACAAGGTTACCATGAGACTCAAATGAGGGGATGTTCAGGAAGGGGCCTTGTAAGACTAGCAGTCACTGTGTTTGACCACAGTCAGAGTAGTCCCCAATAAGCATAAAGCATTTTGTGTTTCAGGTGAAAATCTGGTTTCAGAATCGCAGAGCCAAGGAGAGGAAGATGATCAAGAAGAAAATCTCCCAGTTTGAGAACAGTGGAAGTTCCGTGCAAAGTGACTCTGGCTCCATCAGCCCTGGGGAGCTGCCTAACACGTTTTTCACCACTCCATCCGCTGTCCGTGGATTTCAGCCAATTGAGATACAACAAGTCATAGTCTCCGAATGAAACAAGAGCAGGAAACAGAAGCACCCTTCCCATTGCAGTGTCTCTCTGGCCTCTAAGATAAGAGCAGGGCAGTTGAGATTGGATGTAACTCTTTAGAAGGCAGAATTCCAAATAAGTGGACACACAATGAGTTGCAGAGATTTTAGAAGTCTCTAACGTTCAGAAACTATTCCCAGATAATTCCTATTCTACGCTGTTCTATGTGGGCCTGGGCAGGAAGCTCAGTGATAAGTTTTGCTACTTAAAGTCTAGACTCACGAGCCCTTGCAACTTTCTTCACAATTTCAGAAACTTGCTTGTGAACAGATTTTAAAACACAGTCCTGCCCAGAGGCACATGTACACATATGTTCTTGTGTTTGTTATTTGATTCTGAGCGTCTTTGTGGTCCTTTTTAGGGAATAGGAGTAAAGTAAGCAGACATTTCTCTCTAGATACCTTTTCAAGCAGTAATTCAAAACGCCCAGTCTTCCTAACAAGCTAACTTTGTAAGACAGCATCAGGAGGTTATTACAAATCTATTGCCACTGGCTAATAAAATGAAGATCACTTTTCCCCTCAGATAATACTCACCTGCCATCAAATGCCTAATCATAGAACTTGGGAGATGTAACCATTTCAAATCTTGTCAGAACAATAAAATCAGACTAGAAGAACACAGGCCAATTTAATTGAGTCGATAGCAAGGCAGATCGTCACCACACAGAATAAACTGCCCTGCGCTCTCAAAGAGCTGTGGTTCACCACTTAGAAGGATACAATCTGGGTTTTCAAAAGGTGCTACAGTGAGTAGGGTGGCTGGCGCTTTTGTGTTGGCATGGTGCACTGTTTACATATCAAAGTGGCCAAAGATTAAGACTCCGGTTTTAAGACAAGGTCTCACAATTACCTATTTGGGAGTTGAAAATAAGAACTGTGTCTTCCCAGTCCTTAAGAAAATGTCAGAAAAGGAGCTTATAGTTCAAGGCTTCTGCTGAGGATACATCAATTAGTGCTGAAAGATTTAAGGGAAAACCTTCCACTTCTGACCTGACCTCTTGAAAGTATATTCCTTACAACACACTTATGAGGAAGGTATCAATCACCCCATCTTACTGATTTGGAAAATGAACTGTGAATATCAGGTCACTTTCCAAAGACATAAAAGAAGACAATTACTGCCGCTGATGAGGACCTCAGCCTCCAGAGGAGGATCTTCCTCAGTTTGGAATGCTAAGTCCAAACTCATTCTTAATACCTAAAGGATGCACCTTCAGCTGTAACAGTCCCATTTACCTGGAAGTTGCCCTTTCTTACTGTAAAGCCTATTGATGTTTCTCTATTTCACTAGACTCTGAAAAAAAAACTGGATTTTTTTCTTAATAGCATAGTAAAGGCATTTTCTCTCAAAAGACATGTTTGAAGAGGTTGAAGATTATCTATCTATACTGAGTATAATCTCTATATATCTAAAGAACCTGATTAGTCTAATTATAAATGACAAACTTAGATGACAATTAGTCTATATAATTCTCAATATCTATCTAACTTAAAGACTAAGACAATAAACGACTGTGAAACAAATGAGGACAATGACCTCCAAATATAAACAATGTACAAATATACATTGCAGTAGGTAAATATATATCAATACACAAATATTATATAAGTATCTTAATCAGAGGTAGAAATGTACACCCTCAATATGGTAAATATATACAATATATATATCAATACAATATATGTCAATACATAAAAATGTTTTAAACAGAGGTAGAAACATGCATGCGTACAATAGTCCATATAATTTAACTTTGTTTCATTATACAAGAATTGATACCAATATATTTGTCTAAAAGCAGTAACTCACAATTATAAATCTATTATCCCATCATTCCCTCTTCCCCTCTCCCAGTAAAGTTTGCCCTTGGGTTTAGGGACATCATTTAGGGGTTGATTATAATTAGTATATGATTGAGGGTTGGGAGAGGAATTTTGTAAGCTCAAGGATCATTTTGAAAAAAAAAAAAAAGAGGGAATGATGGGATAATAGATTTATAATTGTGAGTTACTGCTTTTAGACAAATATATTGGTATCAATTCTTGTATAATGAAACAAAGTTAAATTATATGGACTATTGTACGCATGCATGTTTCTACCTCTGTTTAAAACATTTTTATGTATTGACATATATTGTATTGATATATATATTGTATATATTTACCATATTGCAGTGTACATTTCTACCTCTGATTAAGATACTTATATAATATTTGTGTATTGATATATATTTACCTACTGCAATGTATATTTGTACATTGTTTATATTTGGAGGTCATTGTCCTCATTTGTTTCACAGTCGTTTATTGTCTTAGTCTTTAAGTTAGATAGATATTGAGAATTATATAGACTAATTGTCATCTAAGTTTGTCATTTATAATTAGACTAATCAGGTTCTTTAGATATATAGAGATTATACTCAGTATAGATAGATAATCTTCAACCTCTTCAAAGAGCTGTAGAATATGGCCTTTAATCTAACTCAGAGTTTCGTGATAGTGAGACACAATTGCTCCTGGCAACACCGCTCTATTCCCGAGAGAATGTTGAGCACCAAAAACACTCCACCTGGAGCCTTTCTATTTTGGCAGAACTGGCCTTTGGGCAAAGAAATGCCCATACCTCAACCACTGACACAGATACAGAGCGTGCATCAATGGATAAAACAGGACTGTCATATCCTGCCAAGACAGGGTAAGATAGTTTTGAAAAGTTCCTTGCCTTTAATAATGGTATGTCAGTTATGTTAGGCCTTAGCCAAAATTGGTTGACTCAACGTTGCAAACGAGACTTTGGGTGATTGCCCAGGTAGTCAGTTGTCTCTGTCAATTGTTGCACATTTTGGATATATCTCGTTTGTTGAGTAGTGTTTATTCCCTTCTCAGATCTTTGACTGAGTTGAAGATTATATAATTGTAGTTACTCTTTACATTATTTGGACTCCTTGAGATAGAATGTTTAGCAAAGCTTTTGTTCTCAATATTGTTTGTTATATTTATTATTTGTTGTTATTGTATGTAGTTGTATTTGGTTTAGTTCTGTCTTATTTAGACAAAAAGGGGAGATGTAGGGATAAGTCCCGCCCCTTAGGGGGCGTGTTCGCCTCGGGCTAATGTCTGCCTATACATGTTAATTCTTTCTCTGAGTGCTGAGAAAAAGATACACCCCTACTTTTATGGCTACATTACAGTGGTATATACTGGAGGCATGGAAACACCAAAGCTCAAAGGTTGTACTCCAAGTAGCCTTCAATAAGGAAGGGAGGTGGGGAGGGGCAAGGCAGGTATGAAAACTCAACAGCTGGCCAACAATGTTCAGTGGGTTAAATGGGGAATTAAGGAGGGATAGTTTTTTCATTATTTTTCAAATTTATGCATGCTATTTTTACTCTGGTTTTTTTTATCTGCAAGGAATTTGTGGACTTTAGAAGAGCCTGCAATCTATTCAGTGTTCCAGTCTTCAAATACTTCACTTAACAGTGCTGATCTTATCTTGGAGTTTGTGTGCAACTAGAAAGAAAGACCATTGGGAGGACCTGGCCTATTTCCAAATAAAGAAGGAAGTAAGGCCGAAGGAAAGTTTTCCACTGTTGGCTCAAATCCAGAGAACTGGCCACTTCTCTGGTTGAAACATTTTAACATTACCAAGTCAAATCAAGAAGGGAAGGGGAGCCACTAAGGAAGAACTGGAACGGCAGAATCTATTAGAAGGTGGTGTGGAGAGCACTTGAGAGGTGGTTATCAGTCTACAGAGATGCTGCAAAGGGGCTGGGAGTGTAGCTCAGTTTATAGAGTGCTTGCCTGGCATGGAGTCAGTCCTAGGGCCAGCCTCCAGCACTGCATACATGGAGCATGGAAGCTCATGCCTATCATCCCAGAACTCAGGAGATAAGGCTAGAGGGTCCTTGGCTCTATAATGAGCTTGAAGGTAGCCTGGGCAGCTAGACCCTGCCCTTCCAAAAAGAAATACTGCAAAAATAATTACAGCAGAGTTATTACAACTCTGATAACAAAAAAGGCAAGGAATCTAATGATGAGTTTAGTCTATATAGGTAGCCACATTATATAGTTTAGATTCTGTCCCTCAAACAGGGATTACTGGCTCTCATATTCATACGTGAATATGCTACTGAGGAGAGACACAAATAATAGACAATTACTGTGTTTCCCATATAAAGGGAATTAATAGGTTTGAAAGGTAGAGCTGACCTGGGAATATGATCATTAAGTCTTCAGAGTGGCAGTGCAAAGCAAAGAAGTCCTGTACATTAATAAGAAACTGATACTAAAAGTACATAGGACCATGGTGTTAAAAAGAACTACTAAAGCGCGAAATAAGAGCTGGGTTTCTAGTTTGACCTGGTTTTGTAGTTGAAGAGCTGTATGATTTTGGTTAAGCCACCTGAGCAATCAGAGTCTGTTATGTTATTGGTTTTTTTTTAAGTGGTTTGGAATGACTGTAAAAGTTTATTCTAGTTTTAACACTCTTAACATGTTTGGGAAGGCCCTATGCAATTACCTTTGTCCAAAAAATCATACAAAATTTCAATCTCTCTCTCTGATATTTTTTTCAAGGCTTAAAATATCACTGTCAGAGATTTCTTGCTTTAGTCTCAAAGACTCTTAACATCTTCAAGGTCTTATTTCATGCCATCCTCATCTGTAAAGCATGGATTTTGAGTTCAGTTTTACCAGTCTCTGAAACTCTAGTCCATAGCTACCTAATAAATGCCAGCCTTTAATCCCAGAACTTGGGAGACAGAGGCAAGCAGATCTCTATGAGTTTCAGTCCATTCTGATAAAAAAAAAAACAGCAAAAAGAACACTTAAATACGACTGGAAGAGGGCTGGAGAGATGGCTCAGTGGTTAAGAGCATTGCCTGCTCCTCCAAAGGTCCTGAGTTTAATTCCCAGCAACCACATGGTGGCTCACAACCATCTGTAATGAGATCTGGTGGCCTCTTCAGGCATACGTATAGACAGAATATTGTATACATAATAAATAAATAAATTTAAAAAAATACGATTAGAAGAGACAGATACTTAAACTGACAGTCATTTCTCTAATCCCTTTCACACCTGAAAGGCCTTCTCTAAGTGTATCACAGGAACCTCATGAGATAAGGTTGCTATAGAATAATAAACTCAAATTGGTTAGACTGAGTTTTTACATTTAATTGTATGTAAGCATGTATTTCAGATAACTCCACAACTCAATTATCTGTCAGACAAAATGTCTCTTTCCTTGTCTTCCAGTATAACCTTGTCTGACACCGCACTACCCTAATAATGCAGTTTAGAAAATGATACAAACC